TACAGTCTAAAGTTCAAAACACAAAGGTCCAATTTTAGGCTTTGTGCTTTATGACTTAAACGAGTTTCGATTTGAGATTTATTATGGTTTTAAAATGAACTCTTACCGCCATTTGCTCAAAACACTTTCTTTCACTTTGATTTTCCACGGCTCAAAACACAAAAGCAGAAAGCTGATCTATATTATTATTATTATTATTATTTTCCATCTCAATCCTACTACTCTGTAGTCTCTCTTCTGGTATGATAATGTAGCCGGGTCTCAATGAGTCGATGTGTACGCTTGGAAACACAATTTTAACATGATTTTATGTCACATGGCATTAAATAATATCATTTTTGTTTTAGCTTTTCATGAAATTTTGGAGTCATAAGCCCACATTTTATTAAGCTAGTGCCATTTATATTGTGTTTGGTATCATTGTCACTTCTACTTGCAATGTTTTAGGTTAGTTGGTACAAGTTTTAGGATAATATATTTTTTCCCACTACAAAAGAATTGAGTTATCAATACAACATTCCATATCATTATTGTTTATTCAAGAAACATCAAATTTGATAGTTTTACTATAAATGCTAACACCCAATCTAATACTTGTATTTTTTTAGTGAAAATAGTTATGTGATGTGATGCGACAAAACCACTTTTTAAAAATTTATATTGACCAACCTAAAAGGTTGCAATTGCAAGTAAAAGTAGCATTGGTACCAAACACAACCTTGATTTAATAAAATGATTGATAGTTTGTTTAGTTAAATCCCATTGAAATCCTAAGTTTTCGTTTATGTATTGTGCTATCATTCTTTGGTTTATTTGGATATTTAGAAATAATCTTATATATATATATATATATATATATATATATATATATATATATTAATAGAAAATAGATGCTCTCTCCGTGCAGCAAATGGAATCTACTCGTGCAAGTAGACTCCCATGTGAGAGCTCATAATCCAGTAATTACAGTAATTAATGAATGATTAATGGAATCTACTGATTATTCTAGTAATTACAGTAATTAATGGATAATTAATGGAATCTACTGATTAGTACAGTAATTAATTACTGTAATTTAATAATTACTGATTGTTATAGTAATTTAATAAATATATAATTAGTGATTATAGTTAATAATTACTGTTATTATAAATATTGTTAATAA